AGAACCACCTATAAATACCAATCTTGGAGCCCTTATTTTGTTTCTTCTCAACATCTCTGCAAACCCCAGGAGGCCTTTAGGAAAGGCACCGCTTCGGGTAGGCAATGCACCCAGTCCATTAGCATAGGATGTTTGTGGCAAGTATTTATCTTCTCACTATGAAGAGAGGAAAGCAACCATCCTCCCAGCAGGGACAAGCTGCGGGTTGTTGCTTCCTCCAGCCCCCGGCAACAATGGGGTGTTGCTGCCGTGCTCCCCACGCTGGGCTTTTCCCCTAAACTCGACGTTAGCCAAGCCAAAGCTTTCACGGTCTCGGCAACCTGCAGACAGGAGAAGATTTGCGAAATGAAAACCAACCCGCTCACAAACATGTTTTTTTCCCCCAGCTTTTAGTCCACTATAACAAGCTATTTCCTTTGACTGCTTCTAAAGGTCAATGGGAATTTCCCTAAATTCATTACAAAGGGGGAAATGTGGTTTCTTTCAAACCTTTCCAGTGATGCAGCACCATTTGCTCTGCACGAGGCTTTTAAAGCCAAGATTTCCAACTTACCATAATTTACAGCTGTCAATAGCAAACGGGGGCAAGCTTAATTTTACAAATATCAGCTTTAAAGATGAATGTACAGAAAGGATTTTCCCCACAATGTGACACAACCTGCCCATAATTTGTTACGCTGTCTAGCAGCAGACAAATGGCATTATACACAATTTTTTTTACCCTGGGGAAAGGAAAAAGGAAAAAAGCCCCATGCGATAGACATTTATGTGCTCCTAGAAAGTGATGGTAGAAAGAGCCGTACGAATCTTCCATCCTCCTTTTCATTATCAGAGAATAAAAAAAAAAAAGCGCAGAATTAATTTTCCTTTAAGAGAAATCCTCTGGGGATGTTATTTGTGGGCAAAGGGGGTTGCGGCCAAGCCTCCAGCTGGAAATTTTACAGCCTCGTGTTTCGTCAGTGGCTGCGATTGTGGTTATTTGTTCCAGTGTAAGTAACTCTTGCCTCCTAGGATCTGATTTAATAGCATAAAATGAAGGCTTGTGACAAAAATCTACTAGTTCTCTTTGAGAAAAGGCTGCAATGCTTTTCACCACTGACCTCACAAACCGAGAACTGAAATTCTGGAAAGCAACTCGGAGGCAGAGAACCCCTTTTGTGGTTTCATCAGTGCTTCCCCCTCCACCCCTATCACTCCGAATGGAAAAGGAAATGAATTTCCCCAAAAATCCCAGTGGAGATCCCCTGCTAGCTCCTGAGCTGTGCACACCCCACCCTGCCTCTCGCCTGGCACCAGCTGGATTCCGAGGCAGCCACGTCACGCTTCCAGAAACTCCGGCATGGAGCAATTTCTCTCGTCAAGCTCAGGAGCAGCTTTTGGAAAGGCAGGATCCTCTCCAACCAGATGCTGCAAACGCAACAGGGGCTCATACCTTTCATTGGGGTGTTCCTCTGGGCAGCAAAACCACCTCGTTTCCACCAATTCTACCAACTTACATCCAAAATACGAAGTTTTCAATGTGCATCAACATGTAAAAGCTATAGCAAACATAAGTGCAGTGTATTTTAGCTTTTACCCAAAAAGGGCCTTGCCTGCAATGCTAAGCACTGGATATTCTTCTCCTTCTCCTTCTCCTTCTCCTTCTCCTTCTCCTTCTCCTTCTCCTTCTCCTTCTCCTTCTCCTTCTTTGTCTTCTTCATCTTAATCTTTTTCGTCTTCTCTTCATCTTCATCTTTGTTGTCTTTGTCTTGTCTTCTTTGTCTTCTTCATCTTTGTCTTCTTTGCCTTCTTTGCCACCTTCGTCTTCGTCTTCTTCATCCTCATATTGCTATTATTATTATTATCATTATTGTTATTATATTATAATTATTACTGTTCAACATGTTTAGCTTTTAAAACTAATCTGTAACACCCGTAGGATAAGGTCTTCTGCATTTAGAGTCTCCTGGGCGGGAAGCAGTGTCAGGTCCACCCCATGTAGTCCCTGCAGGTGTGGGTCACGCTTACTTTTGCATCTCGAAACCCTGCGCCCGCGTTCAGCGTTTCCAGTGTACTCCCAGCAAGGATCGTTATTATCACAGCACCAGAAAACCAGCCGCTTCTTTCATTAGGGAGGCTCCATATTTCTGTAGTTTCCATAAGACAAAATGTTAGCACTGTAATTTCTTCCTTGATAAGGAAAAACCTCCATCTCTTTTTTTTTTTTCAGGGCTGTATTTTGATTTTTCTGGGTGCCTCTAAGCACAGCGGGCAGCACCACTTTGGGATGGAGTCTGGGGCAGCGACTGCTTCTTGCCTGGACTGATTAATAGCAGATAAGATAAAATTAGAGCAGGGATGTTAGCTTGATGGGAAATCATTCCAGTTTACAAACTTGAGCTTTAGAAATGGTTTGTAGCAACCTTTTGTACTTAGCATATGCAATTAGCAGAGATGAACTAAACTCCCAAATATTCCTGTGAGATAAGCGCATTTTATGATGAACTCACATCCTGAGTGGGTTATATGTGCTCAGTGCAGGAACAAATATGCCAGAGCAGATAAGAAATGAAATCATTCCTGGATAAACCTCCAAAGAAAAACAAAAGCAGATCTTTTTATATATATACAGTCTATTTTGTTGTATAAGGCATTGTTTCGGTTGCTCTTAGCTGGAAAGTGAGTCCAAAGGAACATTTTTGCCCAGGAAGGAGACAGCTCCTCAACCCTGGCGACAGCGTCATGAAACAAGCAGTTTGTGTCTCTTCAAAGACACTGGACTGATCTCTAGTCCTAGTCTGAATCCAGCTTTTCTTACCCAAAAATCTCCAGTTAAAGAGTCATAGTCAATAACACAATCCTTCCACACGCTACATCCAAGGAGAAACAAGCAGAACTCTTCAACCACTTCTGCCCAACCTTCCCAAAAGCAACACAAGGGGAGACGGTGGGGGATAGCTCAGCCCAAAAATTGTTTCTCAGATGTTCGAAGCAATTGAAAACAGACAGTTCATAGAATCATAGAATCATAGAATCATTAAGGTTGGAAGAGACCTCCAAGATCATCGAGTCCAACCATCAACCCAACAACACCATGCCCACTAAACCATGTCCCTCAGCGCCTCATCTACCCGTCTTTTAAATACTTCCAGGGATGGTGACTCAACCACTTCCCTGGGCAGCCTGTTCCAATGTTTAACCACTCTTTCAGTAAAGAAATTTTTCCTTACATCCAATCTAAACCTCCCCTGGCGCAACTTGAGGCCGTTTCCTCTCGTCCTTTCGCCAGTTACTTGGGAGAAGAGACCGACCCCCACCTCGCTACAGCCTCCTTTCAGGTGGTTGTAGAGAGCGATGAGGTCTCCCCTCAGCCTCCTTTTCTCCAGTTCTTGAATTGTGAGCTTGGACGCAGGATGGCGAAGCCCTTTGAAAATACAGAAGATGTGCTCAGCCCTTGGTTATCTCCGTGTCCCACCGCAAAGGGATGCTCTAGGGCCGCACCCTTGTCTTGGTACATGGGACAGGGACAAGGTGGGAAGGACCCTTTGATGCCATGTGTGGGGGGACAGGGCACAAAGGACTCCCCGAGACAGGGATCGGGCAGGGCTCAGCGGGGCGATGCTAGAAAACAGCAGCCACATTCGATAACTCTGATTTTTTGTAGAAAGTCTTCCTATTGAAAATGGGCCGTTCTCAGGCATCGCAATTCTCCAGTTCAGACAGTATAAACTCTCGCACATAGTTTTGCTTACCTTATTGAAGATTAGTAGCTACCGAGCTTGTTTTCACAAGGATCGGAAAAATCCTCACCCAGAAACAGTTGTGACACGATTGGGTTTTATACGGCTTTTGAAGGAATGCTTGGAGAAGAAAGGTAAAGTCTTTGCAGACTGTATTTTCTTTACCAAATCCCAGCGTTATTACCCTTGGCTATTTCTTACGTAAGCTGATTGTGAAGTCTGACCTGCTGATTGCTTTGCATAACACTCATCCCAACCCGTCCAGAATACATAGATTAAAGAGCGTGCTTAATCAACAGCAATTTAAACACCGAGCCCTGGGAATCTGGGTAATCACTTAACTGGCGTGTAACTGGTGCAGCATTTTCATCTGCGTGGCCCTGACTGTTTCTAGTAGCAATCCTCAGGCATCTACGCCTTGTTCTCAAGGTTTGCAGTCTCCTGCAAAGTCTCTTTGCTCTTTCTCAAAAACACTTGGCAGGGGCAAGTGGTTTGTCAACTGGTTGGGCCACAGTCAGTGACTTTCTTCTGCTTCAGGGAAGGTGAATGGAGGTTAATGCTCTGTCCTTGAGGGGCAGAGAGGGAATTTACCCACTTCTCATGAATTGCTAATTGGTCGTGAAATGTTATCCTCCAAATAGCCCTTTTTCCTTCCCTTTCATAGTTATTGTGAAGCTGTTTTCTGATACTCACTGCCAAGACAAAATGACTTGCAGTCAAGAGAAGAGGAACCAGACAGAGAAAGCCAGGAGGCCGTGAGCAAGGAGCCGTAGGGCAGTTTTTGGAGGATTTGTTGTAAGCAGGACCTGTGGGAGCAGTGCAGTCCCAGGCATGCTGCAGGATGGAGACCCACTGCAAGAGCTCTGCAGATCTTCCAGGGCCTTGAATAATAGCTTGAGGTCCAGTTTTGAGGTTTGCCTGGGGACCAGCAAGCTCCAGCTCCAGCATTGTGATAGCTGCATTCCCAGGGTTCCCCCCACCAGGGCATCGCACCCAGCCAGATCCCCTCAGGCACTGGAGGGGGGCAACAACCTGGCACAGCTGCTGGTACGGGTGATGGGGCTTTGCTCTTGGCGTGGCACCTGGGCCCAAGGGTTTCGCCCAAGAAAACACAACGCGTTGTGGCACAGCCGTGGAGTCAGCACCCCTTATCTCCATCACTAGCCCTGCTGCTGCTCCCCACAGTGCAAAGGGCAGAGTCCCAGCGTCCTCCTCCCCGCCCTGCATTCTTAAAAAAGGCCGGACTGGGCACAACACGAGGCTTCTAGGAAAACGGGGGCAATGCCGGCTGCGCTGGCGGACCAGCACCCAGCTGGTGGGAGGGAGCACTGATGGAGCACTTTTTTGCAAAGCTAAATCATGTCCCGCTAGTCAGTTGACTTCTGTGAGCTTCTTTTTAGCCTGGAGAAAAGGAGGCTGAGGGGAGACCTCATCGCTCTCTACAACTACCTGAAAGGAGGCTGTAGCGAGGTGGGGGTCGGTCTCTTCTCCCAAGTAACAAGCGATGGGACGAGAGGAAACGGCCTCAAGTTGCACCAGGGGAGGTTTAGATTGGACGTGAGGAAAAATTTCTTTACTGAAAGAGTGGTTCAACATTGGAAGAGGCTGCCCAGGGAAGTGGTTGAGTCCCCATCCCTGGAAGTATTTAAAAGACGTGTA